AGGTTCCCACGGGAAAAATAAAATCCCTAAATTGACTGAGTTGAACTTGTATGAAAAGAAGGGTTAAAATGGCGGTCAGGACTGCCACGGGCCTATAGCCTGCTGGATTCAGCCTCCTGACTATTCATTCATTAGTTCACACAGTTTATGGAAGTTCTGTGAGCTGTCAGTGCCTACAGCCAGTGCTCAATAACTCTTTGAAAAGTGGAGGGATAAATGTATGAAGTTACAAATGGACAAATGAAAGAATCAATACAAGCCCTTCTGGGAAGTTTTCACTGAGACAGATCCTTTGCAGTAACACTTTGCAGACCCCCTCTACCACCAGACACACCATCATTTCTCCTTGGCACTATCTCATATAATCTCCTGGGTCTCTATTTTCAGCTGCTAGAATTTTCTTTTAGTTTTGTTATTTCAAGATCTAATTTGGCTTGGCTACAATATCATCCCTTCCCCTTAGATGGTAAGATTGTATTGGGATGAGGGAAGGATACCACCATCTAACATCTCATAGAGTCTAGCTTGAAAATGACAGAAAACTCCTTATTTCTTGAGTTTCTGAGTGTGCAAAATAAGTTGTTCATTATGGCATAATGGAAAGAATGTGGGCTTGTCAATCAGGACAGACCTGGATTTGAATCCTAACACTACCATTTACTAGCTGAGGGATATTAGGCATACTACTTCTCTTTTCTCTGGGCCTGTTTTTTTTTTTTAAACATGTAGGAAAATGAGCAATTTACCTCAAAAATTTGTTCCTGAAGATTAAATGAGATAAACATATGTAACTTTGCCTAGCATAGGGCCTGGCACATAGTAGGTGCTCAGTATAAGGTAGCCATTATCTTAGTATCCTACATTTCAACTTTTCTTTTTTTTCTTTTTTTTGCGAGGAAGATCAGCCCTGAGCTAACATCCATGCTAATCCTCCTCTTTTTGCTGAGGAAGACTGGCTCTGAGCTAACATCTATTGCCAATCCTCCTTTTTTTCCCCAAAGCCCCAGTAGATAGTTGTACGTCATAGTTGCACATCCTTCTAGTTGCTGTATGTGGGACGTGGCCTCAGCATGGCCGGAGAAGCAGTGCGTGGGTGCGTACCTGGGATCCGAACCCAGGCCGCCAGTAGTGGAGCGTACGCACTTAACTGCTAAGCCACGGGGCCGGCCCCTGAACTTTTCATTTTACAAAGTGTTCTCCTATACCTTCTGTTACTCATTATGTATATAATATACATATAATATATATACACACACACACATACACACACACACGTTTATTATTAGACATTGATGTCCTAAGTCTCAAGTTCAATATGGAGCTTATCTTCAGTCACTGACTATTCACCTTGAACCTAGGCTTCCAAGCTTCCCATCCTTCCAGGAGCCAGACTATTATCCCGGAGATTCCTTTCCTGGACTTTTACTCAGCAGGTGCTAAGCAGATAAGAGGGGTGCTTAAATTCAAACAATAGGCTGTTTACTTAGCATTTCTTATCCCAGGGCTGCATTTGCTAGTTTCCCTGAGTTATTTAGAGGAAAGCCCTTGAACTGAGGTTGTTTGTACCTTTTGCTTTATATTTGGAGATCCTGAAACAGTTAGGACGAGGCACTTCTCAACCCCTAGGAGTGTGCTTGTGAGTCTGGCCCAGGTCAGAGGTGTAGTAAGAGGAGAGATAGGGCCATTTAAGGCACTTTGCCGGTTTACTGTATTTGTGAAAAACAGAGTTCTTATTTTTCAAAAATGGTGTTCTAATTGTAGATAATTTTAATTCTTTGTTTTGTCCACTGGTGTATCCTTAGCACTTAGAATGGTGCCTGGCACGTAACGGGCACTCTGAATATTTGTTAGATGGATGTGATACTTAAACCACCCAAAGCCAATAGTACTCCCTCAATGTAATCTGGTGGGCAGGGGGAGCTGGGGCAAGTTTGAGAAAGTTATTATAACTCTAGAGTCTTCCAAGTCTTGTCTCAGATTGCTTATCACAGAGCCAAGATCAGATCCCAAAAGTGCCTGACTTTCCCAGGCTCAGATCCTTAAATCTGTTCCCTAATTCTCATGACCAGAAAATGCGTATTATGGGCATGTGGGAGATCAAAATTTGCCCACCCTGAAATATGTCTCTTTATCTTGATTATTTTCTCTGATGGACATTTGACCTCCCCCACTAACTGCCTAAAGGAATTTAACTCTGGGTATGGACAGACTGGCAGGGTCCTTGCTAAGCCCATTCTTTTCAAAGTTCTGTTTACCAAATATTTACATTTGTAAAGGTATCTCCCTCTGTGTAGTGGGAAGAGGGGGGGATGACCTTATCTGTGAAAACTCTTATCAGTATGGAAGTAGAGGTCTTAAATCTACATACTCTTGATTACTGTGATTTCTGTCTCTCTGACCACATTCTCTATAGGTGGCCCTGTAAAGAATTGTCTGACAAATATTTACATTTCCCTCTCTCTGTGAATTGTCTTCTTCCCCTCTGAAATCCCAAAACCCCTACCCCCAACATCCTCCTTTGTCTTTAGCTGAAGATAGTAATTAAGATGAGAATCTTTGCCATTTTATTGAGAAACACAGTTTCCCTGGTTTCTCCCATGTATACATGTTATTAAACTTGGTATTATTTTGTCCTGCTAACCTGTCTTTTTAATTATTTGGCCAGCCATAAGAACCTTAAGAGAAAGGGCTGAGGGGGATTCTCCCTCTTCCCCAACAGGCACAGTCAATAAACTCTTTGGCCAGATCAACTAGCAAACATAAATGTGACGGACAAATATGACAGTTTAGTAAGAATAAGAACCCTAGGCTGAGTCAGGTAGTCTGACTGTGTGACCTTGGATAAGTCATTCTGTCTCTCTGGGCTTCATTTTCCTCCCATGTTAAATGAAAACAAATGGCCACTCTATCTCCCACACATCCTTGTTTGAAGGATATGAGAACCTGTAAAGACACTCACCACCAAAGATTTTTTTAAAACTTACTCTGTCAAAAAACGGAATCTGCAGTCTCAGTGTGGTCCTGAAGTGATGTGTAGAGATGGCTCTGTGAAATATACAGTCTGTTTCTAGGCTACTTGGTGGCCTGAATGGTGGCACTGACACACATTGCAGGGGATAGATGCAAATGACATTCAGCCAGCAACAAGGTTTTCTATTTTTGAATGAAAAATTTCTTTCATGAAATCAGAGCCTCCCCATATGCTCAGCCACTGTGAGTAGCCAAAGACTTTATTGCAAACATGAATAGTCCATGTTAATGTTGTGCCATCTTGCTCCCTCCTGCAAGAAGAATGTTTATCTCCTTATCGTTGCTTCACGGATTTCTGCAACATTTCTATGCCAGCCATGGCTATAGTCATTTCTCCCAGGAAGTTAGAGGTCTGCGGCTCTTCCCCTTCTTCAGTGTGTGTTTTACAATTTTTTTCTAAATATTAATGTGCTCAGCATTTTATTTTACTTTACTTTCCATCTAGAACAGTTGTCTTCTCTCCATCAAACCAAGACTCCTTCCACCTTCAAAATCCTGCTTAAAATTCATCTCTGCAGAGTCTTTAATCCATTAACAAAGATTTGGTAAGCACCTTCTCAAGGTAGGCCTTGTGGGGGCTAAGACAGTGTCCTGCCTGTTGAAGAGCATTGGCTATAATCTGGGAGAAATGAGACCCTCACACAGAATGGTGGAAGCGTGCGCAATTGAGTGGCATATTGTGAGTGCCAGAAGAGTGTATAGGCAGAGTGCCCTGGTGGAGAGCACTGTGGGCAAGCAGGGTCAGGAGAGGGAACTTGAGCTGGGCCTTGAAGAATGTGCTGATTTTAAATAGGCAAAGGAGAAGGGACAGGATTTTGGAAAGAGCAAGGGGAGCAATGTTAGCAAACAGCAAAGAGGCAGGAATGCAGACATTTGTCCCTGGGCAAGGAGAACTGCAGTTAACCACAGACAGAATTTGGTGGAAGCCTAGCAACAGCACAGCTAGACTGGTAGTTTAGGGCTAGATTGGAGGGCTTTGGATGTCAGGCTAAAGGGTTAGGTTACTGTTTTGTAGTGAATGGGAAGTTATTAAGGGTTACTGTACAGAAAAATGACCTGATGGGACCCAGATTTAAGCACATTCATCTAATCACAGTGTGCATAGTGGCCTTGGAGTTGGGGCAAAAGGCAGGTGGGAGAAAAAACTCTGACTTCCAGCTGGTTTATCACTCTCACACTCCAGGAATCTCACAGTCTTTGCGTGTCTAACTTAATGAAGCTGAATTATGGATCTATCTGCCAGTAACTGGAAGGTAAAGTTGAGAATAGAGTATGGAATTTTTGAGCCAGTCAGACCTGGATTGAAATTCAGAGTCTACCACTTAGTTGCTATGTGAATTTGGGCCATTTAACCTGTCTGTTAAATGCCTCACTTTCCTAATCTGTAAAATGTTCATAATACTAAACCTTACACAGTAGCTAATGAGAAAGGCTGGTGTATAGGAGATAAATGTTCGACCAATGTTCCTTTCCTTTCTTACCCCCTCCTCTAGTTAGCTGTGTGGGCCTTTGCATCTCTTTTTCTGGGGGAGTTGCCTCATGTAAAATGGGAGCTGTTGCTTCCTGCTTTACTATGGTGGAAGAAAAGTCCTTGCGTATTGTGGGAGATCACAATTGACCACCCTGAAATATGTCTCTTTACCTTGATTATTTTCTCTGATGGACATCTGACCTCCCCCAAACTGCCTAAAGAATTTAACATAGAAGACCTGTTTCAGGAAGGACCCACTATCATATGATAGCTATAATATAATGGGAAATAGATGTTACAGAAGGAAAGGCACCAAGCCCCTCTTATCAAACATTCTGTCTCTCCCAAGCCACATTCTCTAGGGGGCCCTGCAAAGAGTTGTCAGACAAACATTTACATTTATAAGGGAGATCTCCGTTTGTAAAGGTATCTCTCTCTCTGTATTGGGAAGAGGGGAGGATGGCCTTATCTGTGGAAACTTATTAACGTGGAAGTTGAGGCTTTAAATCTGCATAGTAACCTTACTCTTGTTCACTGTGATTTTCTGGTAATCTCCAATAACTGACTCCCCCTACCCCCAACATCCTCCTTTGTCTTCAGCTTAAGGTGGCATTTAAGATGAGAATCTCTGTCATTTTGTCGAGAAACTCAGTTTCCTGGTTTCTCCCATGTATACATGTTATTAAACTTGGTATTATTTTCTCCTGCTAACCTGTCTTTTAATTATTTGGCCAGCCAGAAGAACCTTAAGGGAAAGGGCAGAGGGGGATTCTCCCTCTTCCCCAACAGTACCCAATAACACACCTGACCAGTCCTCCTTTCTCCTTTCTCCTACTCTAGTAGGGTAGGAACTAAATCATTCCATCAACAAACGTTTATTGAGAGTCTCTTATGTGTCAGGTACTGTTCTTGGTCTGGTGTATAAAGCAGTGAATAGAAACAGACAAAAATCTCTTCCCTCATGGAACTGATATTCTAGTTGTGGCTGCAGGGGAATCACACAATAAACAAAAACTGTTATAACATGTCAGATGGTGATAAGTGCTAAGAAGAAGAACACAGCAAAGGAAAGGGACAGAAAGTGATGGGAAATTGGTCAAGGAAAAGTTCTCTGATACATCTAAGAAGAGACCTGGAAGAAGTGAGGGAGAAGCCATGTGGCTATCTGGGAGAATAGCATTTCAGGCAGAAGGAAATACAAGCAAAAAGACCCTTAAGTGGGAGCATGCTTTGCAAGTTCAAGGAACAGCAAAGAGGTCAGTGTGTCCAGAGCAGAGTGTAATGAGAATAGCAGTAGGGGAGGAGCCCAGGAGGTGCCCAACAACCAGATCATGTAGGGCCTTGTAGGCCAAGGTAAGGACTATGAGGGAGATGCAGAGCTGTTGGAGGATTTGGAGCAGAGGAGTGATAGAATCTGACTTAACATTGTAACAGAAAGCCTCTGACACAGGGTAGGAAATAGACTGTAAGGTTGCAAGGACAAAAGCAAAAAGCATGGAGACCCAGGAGATGGCTAAAGTAGTAATCTAGAGAGCATGGGGGCTTTGACTAGGGGTGTGATGGGAGATGGTGAGAAGTGGTCAGGTTCTGGGTATATTATAAAGGCAGAACTGACAGCATTTTCTGAGTGATTGGATGTGGAGTGTTCAAAAAAGAGGATTCAAGAGGATTCAGCCATTCGCTGAGATGCAGAGACCAAGGGATAAGCACATTTTGGGGGAGAGGAGCTTTGGTTTTGATCATGTTGTGTTCAAGATGTCTATTAGACATCCAAGTGGAAATGGAGAGGAGGAAGTTGGATACCTGAGTCAAGAGTTTAGGAGAGGGTGGTGGGAACATACGGGTCTTATCTCAAACTTTAAGAATGCAAAGAAGGGGGCAGGCGTTTGATAAGGGCAAAGTATGTAGATGCTTTTCTGCATTTCTGCCATCCATGTTCTTAAGTATTCTTATATGTTTTCCTTCTCATCTCCTTTTTTTTTTAATTTTTTGTTTATTGCAGTAACATTGGTTTATAACATTGTATAAATTTCAGGTGTACATCATTATACTTCTATTTCTGCATAGATTTC